GATACTGATACTGAACTGTCAGATGTCAATGCAATTGATGGTGGTGCTCAATCAGAGAAGACCTCTTCATCTATGCATATGCCAGTTGATTCAGGTGCTGAGAAAGAAAAGAAAGTGATGGAATAAAGAAGTGGGCGTGGAAAGAACCCTCAACATACTGGTGGTGCTCTTCCATTTATTAGGCATTGTGACAGCATGACTGCTGCACTTTCAGAAGCATTGCCAAATGGCTCATCCATGCCAAGCTGCAGTGACAATCAACCGTCTATTGAAGTTGCAGGTGAAGAAGCTCGGTCCTATGGGAAGCCATTTTCCGGTGAGCCTGTTGTAATCAGTTGTGAGCTGGAAAGAGAAGTTGAAAATGAGAGTGGAATTTGACAATGGTCTAAGTAGTGCTACTGTCGATAGAGTATTTTCAGAAGAGACTGCTGATGTCTCTATATCTAGAATGTCTGACGACCATCAAAATAGTACGATTGAAGGAATGGTTACCGGTGCATTCACTGACACTTTCTTGGCAAGAACAGGATCGGACAAGCACCATACTGATGATTGTGCTGCAGCTAGTGATGGCTAACTTATATCTGCTGCTGTATTTATATCCTTCTTTCATGTATAAATCAAACAAACATACATGTCTATTCACATGGTTAGTTGTAGCAAATTCATTATACACCATTAGAGGAAACCTTAGTATCGGTGATTAATGTTTTTAGCTTGAATAGATAGAATGTGATGGTTTCAATTGTTTTGGGTCATTGGTGAGTAATAAGTGGTAAAGAAAACATTTTTATATATGTTGCATTTGGAAACTACATATGGTCGTCTGGGTGTGTTGTTACAAAGAATCAGGTCTCTAGAAAACTTGAGAACAATGAATTTATATATACATATATAGGTATGCATGTATGTAGTTTTTTTAAAATTGTGGTTAATCGATTTTCTAGTGGATGTTACATGTCGTTATCGATTTCAGACGCGATCTCACTAGGTTTTAAATGATTAAGAGGAAACCATTTCCACCAAAAAACTGTTAAAAAGATCAAAAATTAAAAATATAAAATTAATTTATAAAATTTGATATTTATTATAATAATATTAATTTATCGTTATAATTAAGTCACAAATATTTTCTAATTGTTTTAGATGTTTATTTTATTTCTTATTTTTAATGAAAAAATTGAAATAATAAAATCATATTTTAATGTTTTAAAAAATAGTTCGAAAAAATAATTTTAATTAATTAGATTAATATAATAATAATAATAGATATAAATTTAAGTAATTAGTTAAAATTATTTTTTGAATTGTATTTTTAAATATTCAAAATATTTAACAATTTTAGTTTTTTTATACTAAAAATAAAAGAAAACTGAGCGTTTAAAATAAATAGAAAATATCGTGATTCAAATTGTAACAAAAAATACATTAGCACCTAAATTGTAACAACTATTAAACTTCGAAAATTAATATAGTAATTTGTTCAGAAATTAGTAATATTATGTGATGCAGAATCCGAGGTTTAAAGATTACATATAGAACCCCGCATATATTTATTATAGATAACTTAGAACCTTAAACAAATCATTCCTATCAAACCCACAACTAACCTGTAATTGAGAACTTGTGTGACTAGGGTGAAAGAAACAAGAATGAATAAATATCACAAGATAACTTGATAAATTAATTCAACTCTTGATGCAACAAAAAAAATAAGAATTCTCACTTGTCAAACTTCTATGAAAGGCAATAAAATTCATTCAATAATCAAAGTCTGTCATATTACATTGAAAATAAGATATTTATAGCCCAAAATACTTAAATTCTGCCAAAAAATCATAATTAGATATGTAGAAAAACGTGAACGAAATTTAATTATCTAGAAAATAATCTAAAAAAATATAGTATTAAATGACATAAGAAAATATGGTATTAAATGACACACTAAAACATGAATAGAATTTAATGATCTAAGAAATGACCAAAATAACCTTAAACATTCATTCTAAATTCTGTTTACACACTTGGACGAAATTATTGATTTTTTTTGGCTCATATGATTCTTCAAATAGTCCACACCTACTAAGTTCTTATTGTATCCATATTTGTACAAAGGCTTGAAATGTATATTTTAGCTTTTTGGTTTGAAATTTTGTGATTGGACCAATTGACATTGTAATATCTTCTTCATACTCCTCTTTAATATCTTTTGAACTCATGTCCGTATCATTCTCTTATTCGTAAAAAAGATTTGTCCTTGAATCTACATCTATATCAAAATGAGAAAGATAAAAAACGTTAAAAATGGCAGATTCAGAATACTCATTAAGGCGATCAAACCGATAAGCATTGTCATTGATTTTCTCCAACACTTGAAATGGTCTATCGCTTCTCAAATCTAACTTTGACTTTTTTTGTTTTGGAAATCTTTCCTTACGCATATGTTGTAACACCCAAATTTTTATTATTATTATTTTTAAATTATTTTAATTTATATTAGAATTTTAATTTAATTTATAAGATTTTAATTTAATTTAATTTAATTTAATAAAAATAAAATAATAATAATGATAAAATAGGGTAAAATTATTTTTTTGGATTTATTTGAAATTGATTTTGAGAAAAAGTGGTGAAAATTTGGATTCTGGGGGTATTTTTGAAAAAAAAAAACAGAAACCGAGGGTCAAAACGCAATTTAAGAAAGTTGTACCACGTCAGAAGCCCCCAGCCAACCAGAACACGCCGCGTGGCAAGGAAGCTAACGCGGGAGACCATGCGGGACGGAGCCACGTGAGCGATCCGCGTGCACGTGATCGAACGGTCCAGATCTCACGCATGCGGACGACCCAGATCTCACGCGCACGGACGGTCCAGATCTCACGTGTGCGGATGACCCAGATTGAATCACGCACGGACGACCCAGATCGTATCGCGATGGCAAAATCGGAGCCAAACCACTGGCCAATTGGCTGGAAAATACCGCCGAAATCCAACGGCGCCGCCGCAGCTTCTCTCAATTTTTGCCTCCGATGAGGCCTTTTCCGATTCCCGTTCAATGTAATTTTTACACCACTATGATCCCCGTCCTTTTCTCTACAGGTTGACTGGAGCAAAACATCAAATCGCGACTCGCGTCGGAGAAGCCGCCGCACCCGAGAGCTCTGCCGCCGGTAAGTCTCGATTTTTCGTAATTTTTTGGCCCACCGAGGGCTCTAGGGTTGTTTTATCGCAGGAACCAATGCAGGTTTTGCCAAATTCGGCCGAAAACGACCGAAAACGACCAACCCGAGGCGGATCGCCGTAGCGGGCGGCAGTGCCGTCGCCAGAGCACGGCGGAGCCGCCGTGCTGGAATTTTGATATTGGCTAAAAAGGGGCCCTAGGTCTGATTTGGAATTTTTTGGGACACGTGCAGGCACTGGTAGTACGTTTCAGTTTTCTGAAAAAAGTTCAGAGAATTTAGGGACAGCCCGTAGGCGCATTGTAGAGCTGATTTCAGACCCCGAAACAAGTAAGGATCTCTCACCCTATTCCCTATCACGACATTAAAGCCTAATAAATGATAAAACGGTATTTTATGACTTTATAGATATGTATAATTGATCGAGGTTGCCAATGGAGCCCGAACCTGATGTATTTTTCGGTCAGTTGTTGTTTAATTTATTTTTCAGATTTAAATGTAGTATAGTATTTGATGTATTTATTTTATGGTTTCATATGCATGAATCATGATTTCTTTTATTATGGTTTGAATTATGGTGAGCTCGATGTTGTGTTGTTTGTTTGGTGTTCATTATTGGTTTACGTGTTTATGTATGATTGGATAATTGAGACCAAGGAGAATGGAAAAAAGGTTATGTGAATTGATAAATGGATAATGTGGACAGCCTGACTAGATATCCTGGGAGATGGTGGACGGACCGGGTCCGTAGGAAACCTTACCGGGAACGTGGTATCTCATATCGGACGGGGTATGGAGACCTTATGTGTTTTGACGCCTATACCGGACGGGGTATGGGGACGGCCCGTTTCACCTTCATACCGGATAAGGTATTGAGGTTCATGGTTTTGGCGCCCATACCGGACGGGGTACGAGGACGGCCCTAGAATCAGGTTATTAATGTTAACGGTTCACGTGTAGCGGAGACCCCCTATGGATTCCCATGGATACTAGTAGGCTGGTAAAAGAGGAAATTTGTTGTCTGATTATTGAAGTGCAAAAGTATAACATGTGTTATGTTACAAAGTGTATATGATTTTATGATGGTTATAATGTTATTGTTTTCATATGTTATTTTCACGAATCTCACCGAGGTAAGTGGACAGTAAATGTTTTTATTATTAATAAATGAGTTTGTTATAAATTATGCTCAATTGGTCGTTTTTGTTTTCTACCAACCTTTACTTCTGTGGCAGTGAGATAGTGTGATGTCTTTACTGGGCTAGTGTAGCTCATTCCTTACTTAACCATTTCAGATCAGGAAGACGTGGTTCCCGAGCCCGTTCCGCAGGAAGACGGCGAGTTAGACACCTAAAGACTTTATAGTTCTATTTATAGTTTTTATTTCGTATTTCTTTTAATTAGCTTATTCTTTCATTTGATTACGTTTTTGGTTATTGTGTAAGGGATGTTAATCAGAATTTTTATTTCGCTTCCGCCTTTAGGATTTTTAATACATACATCTTCACTTAAATTTCCGGGGCCGTTACATATGTACCCAAACCTGATCTCCAGGTTCAAGTTTAATTTATTTTCGCCATTTATTACCCTTTTAAGTATAAACTTGGTTCTTTTTAATATGCTCACGTACCTTTTCATGGATCGCTTTAACCATTTCAACATTCTTTTTAATGTCTAAATTAGAAATTTCAATTAAAAGTAATGGTATTAAATCCAAAATAGTTCATGAATTAAAATCATACACAATTTCAAAAGGTTAAAAATCTGTAAAAGAATGAATAGTACGATTATATGCAAACTCAATGAACGCAAAAAATCTTCTCAAGCTTTTAAATTCTTACAATTAACAACACAGTAAAATTCTCAAAGTTCTGCTAACAATTTCAGTAGTAGAATATAATACTTTAGTTCCTAACTTACTCCACAAAGTTTTTCAAAATCAACTCAGGAATTTAACATCATGATCAGAAACAAAAATCTCAGGTACACCATGTAACCTTATTACTTATTTAAAGAACAGATCAACAATGTTGCATCATTGGTTTTGTGACATGCAATGAAATGTGCCATTTTATTAAACTTGTCATACTACAACAAATATGTTATCTTTACATTTTCTAGTTTTAGGCAAATCTAACATAAAATCTATAGAAATGTCAGTCTAAAGTTGAGTAGGAACTGGTAATAGAGTGTATAAACCATGTGGTTTGAACTTAGATTTAGCTTGTCTATATGTAATACAGGATGAACAGAGTTTCTCAACATTCCTACGTATGTCTGGCCAATAAAAATGCTAAGTCAGATCCAAAGTTTTATGCATACCAAAATGACCCATTAATCCCCCATTATGAGATTTACGAATAAGCAATTCACGCAATGAACATGTAGGCACACACAA